GTTCAAAGCATTTATTAGGGGACACATACAATGAGTTGCTACAGCAGTCCTCAGGATGGGAAGAAATGTCTACCCGTTTTCCTAGGTATGTCTGCAATGGGTATGGAGTTCATATGGGGGTTTGTGCTATCTGATTCAGAGTCACACTAATTCTATGTTTAGTAATGTTTGACTTTTTCAGTGTTTCAAGTAACAACCTAAACAAGTTCACTAGTGCCTGGGAATGTTCAAGGCCCAGGACTGGGCTCAAGTCTAGGGGAAACACTAGCTGACCAACTCACAGCAGTCAAGGAATTGTATTTCTTGGTCAGGACACAAAAACATGGAGAGGGGCCTAGAGGGGCAGAGGGACACTGTAATGTTAACATGAGTATATGTACAAGTATCATCCATTGCCCATGAGGCAATGCTACTTGAAAAAGAAACACCTATTTAAGAAAACATTTTTCCGAAATAAATATGTACCTTAAGAATCCTTTGCAAAAAATAAAAATATTGTGTAATCGCTAGCAATTTATAGACACATTTTCACTAGCATTTTCACAATCAGCATTGAACATACCTACTGAGAGCAGCAAACTATATAGAGATCAGTACAAACAGTACTAAAGATCAGATACACTCTGGTGACAAGAATAAATGGGATTCCTAAACAAATAATTTAATCTTTCATTCCTTTCCCTTTAAAGTCTCATTTTTAAGCTCCTACATTCAATTAACATATATCCTTTAACCTTCTCTCTACACTATTTCCATTATTGTGTGGCATAGGTATCAACTCTCACTTACTGGTGAAAACAGAAAAATAGCGTCAAAGTCTATGGAGGAAAAAACGCCCCAAAACAAAAAAACTATAATCCTGAATATTTTCTCATTTTCCACTTCAGTTTTTTATAACTTTTGGTGAGATCTAAACTGCCCTGACACCCAAATTAGTCTGTATCTTCTGAGTCATGCCATTGTGTAATCCCCTCTCCTTAGCTGTGAGCTGGACAGTTACTTGGCTTCTGACAGTCTTGTTCACACTCTCCCTAAGGCTCTCTTTTCAAGTTGTAAACTGCTTTAAATGAGAGGTTCATAGGGCAAGGAATAGAAGGATGCCACTAATAGCCAGGAAGCTACTGTGGCCCTCAATTCAATAACCTACTAGCAAATACATGAATTTTAAGCAGATCTTTCCCTAGGTGAGCCCTCAGACTTTTATTGCAGCCTGAAGTAGAGAAACCCACAGAAGCTGAGATATAATAATGTGTGCTATTTTAAGTCACCAAGTTTGTGGCACTGAAGTTATGCAGCAATAACTAATGTTTGGAGTCTCAACTTTCTTTACTGCATTGTTTTTACCAATTCTTATATTAATAATTGACTTATTTATAAATAGTAGTTTCCAATTACATATTGAACATTTCAATCTTTTATTTCTTTGAATGGAGTAAACATATTTAGTCTATCTCATTGTCCCAATATTTGGTGGCTCTTTGGGTCTATTGTTTCTGTTGGTTTTCATTCTTTCTTTTTCTTCCTGTGCCTGGTTCTTATGTGAAGATCCTTTATTTGAAGAAGTATTTGTTGAAACAGTTGGAGGTCTAGGAAAATTTCTTCCTCCAGGTTTGCTTCTTTCAGATTCCTAGAGGTCTTAGAAATCTAAGGTCACTGTAATAAACATTCAAAATTTAAAAAAATTCTGAGCTACCTAGATATACATTCTTTTCTAATGGTTTATTTCATCCCTTACCTTTAGGATGCTGCCCTTCAGAACCACAAACTAAACAATTCCACTGGCATCAAAAGTCCTATAGCTTAATAACTTTTGCCCTTGTAGCTTTTTGCAAGGCTATTAGAACACTACTCATCCTTTCAGCCTCTTAGAAAAAACTCTCCCATCCAAAGCAAAGCAGCCTGATACCAAGTTCATCTTTCTGGATTTGCATTTTCTGCCATTTATGTCTGGCAATTATTATCAACCTTTTTAGATCCCCAAAGCCTTCAAGTACTATATGCAGCCAGGTATTGTAGAAAGACTGGGCAAATCTAGTCCATCAATTTTGGGAGCAGAGATTGAAAGGGTTATTATTTTTTTTTAATGGGGTCACCTTACAACTTTTAAGCCAGTCTGTACATGAATCACCATGTAGGCCACCAAGGGTTCAACCTTTAAAAGCACTGTAACTATTCTTCCTAAAGTAGAGAGAGCAGCACAACCTAATTTAGACTAGAAAGGGAAACTTCATATTTGATGTAGCATCCAAATACTCTCTGGCCACCAATTTTGGTTCTATAAAAATTCACAATAACTTATTAATCTTACAATAAGTAAATCGCCCAAATAAATCAGTTAGCAATTCATTTAGCAGAGAATAAAGGGTAATGTAAGTTCAAATATTTTGCCAGATACATTCATATAGCATCTTCTACCCCAAAGGTTTTTAAAATATATATTATTTTTTAGTTGAAGATGGACACAATACCTTTATTTTATTTCTTTATTTTTATGTAGTGCTGAGGATTGAACCCATTGCCTCACACATGCTAGGTTAAGTACTCTACCACTAAGCTACAACCCCAGTCCAGGTTAGAGGTTTTATTTCACTTAATTATTTAAAATGAAATTGAATTTCTTTGATTTATTATTATTACAGTGTCTACTACTAGAAAGTTGAGATTCTCAAGCCTAAAGAATAATTGTAAAGGATGAGATTTTCTAGCAATAATGCAAGTTCTTTTTTTATTTATTTATTTTTTTAATTTTTTATTGTTGGTTGTTAATGCAAGTTCTTAACAGCTATTTAGGCCTCAGGAGTCATAAACTCAATGCCACAGGAAAAAATATCACAGAAATTAGTGAGGAAGGACCAATAGTGTTGGCCAGGTAAAGAGAAATAAGGAGCAGTGGGAACTGTGACAAAAAGGAGTATGCCCCAGCTAAAGGGACATAGAACTAACTATTCCAGCTTCTGTATGCTTCTGTTGACATTTAAGAACATAAGCCTGAAGCTGTCAGATTTTCCCATTTTTCAAGTAAATGCGGAAATCTGAATACTTAATTTTTGAATAGAATACATTAACAAATAGTGAATTGGGTACCAATGCCACTGAAATTATCTGCTGTCCCTTTCAGCTTTAAATCTTGCCTATCTTCTCTATTAGTTCTACTAACAACAAATGAGTTTGAAGAAATAATAACAAATTACTTATAACAGAAACATTGCTAGTTTGCAAATAAAAGTCAAGTTTTACATGACACCCAAATACTTCCCAGGAGGCTAAACCTCATGCAAATATTCATTATCTGAAAATCAGGACAGCTTTCAGTAATTTAAATCTACAATTAAAATAATTAAGTATAGCCTGGATCCTTCATAAAGCTTATTGACAATTTGGGGTGCATACTGCTATAATATATACATATATATACACACACAGTATGAATAAGGCCTTGGCAAAAATGAGATTCCTCTTTTATATATATACACATATAGATTTTTACATGTGTGTATATTTATGTATGTGTAATTTAAAATATGCTAAATTTATAGGTTTCTATATATCAGCACACAATTTTCATAGAAATATTCTGAGTTTATATTTAAAATATTAAGACATCAATTTTTTATTCCCTTAAATATGTATTATAAAACACAGATATATTTTGTCCTCAGGTTATTTTTTTGGTGGTTTATAAGTGTGTGTGTATCTCTGTGTGTTACTGGTGATTGAATATGGGGGAGCTCTACACTGAGCTACACCCCCAGCCATTTTAAATTTTGAAACAGGGTCACACTAAGTTGCCCAGGCTGGCCTTGAACTTACTATTCTTTCTCAGCCTCCTAAGTAGCTGGGATTATAAGGTAGCACCACTAAGTCTGGCTTGTCCTTCGGTTTCTGGTTGATAGATGAGTTTTTACTCATTAAGTCTACATTGCCACAAAGGATTACAATAAAATTTCATTTACTGTGTACAAAAATATAAAAGGTTATAAAAAGGCAAATGAGATACCATTTATATTTATCAATATAGACTTCTCATCAATTTGATTCATTTCTAGAAAATATCACTTGCATCTTAATTCCAATGGCAATTCCGTTACATAATTGTAGAAATAAATCATCTTATAACCACCTTTCTTTAAAAAATTTAAAAAGCCAAAACACAACTTACACATTAAATTTCAGACTTCTGTACAAACTATTATAAAAGTTTTAAGAGCCAGTATCAAGTGTTAAGTGCTATTTACAAAAATTTCACCAAGTGAAATACAGAATCTATAGGATAAAAAAGCACATAATGCAATAAAAATCTGAGAAAGAATTTGGTATTTTTCAAAGGAAAAGAACAGAAATGAGTGAGAAATGGGGATTAACTTATACTCAAAAATGATATTACAGAAATATTTAAAATATGCTGAGACAATTAAAGTCATATAGCCATATAAGTTATATTTAATGTACAATAAGTTTATTATTTGCATAGCAGCTATTCCCAATTTTGGTATACCCTGATATTACCAAATCAGTAATCATATCTCAACCCTTGAAACATTATTACTTACAATTTCTCAGTTTCTGTGGCATCTCTATTCTTCTCTGATTTTTATTTTTTATTGTTACTGTTCTGTTTTACAAAATCTTCTAACCAAACTGGACAATAGAGCAGTCTAGAGTTTAGAAATTCAACCCATTCAATCAAATATTGATCAATACTGATGTTGTAAATATGCAGGCCTGTTCACATCTATTTTTGACATTCTCTGTAGCGATTCTGGACCATTTGTCTTCCTTGTACCTTGCTCAATTATTATTTTATTCTGCCTCTATAAGGAAGCCATAATATTTTCTATAATCGTAAATGAAGAATTTAAAAATCATGTCTTAACAATTTTCTGTAAAATTAACTTTACCTTTTAATTAAAGCATTATGCACAAGCTAGAACAAAAACAGGCATACTGATTACTTTTACTAGTAGTCTTAGTACATTAACAAAATACCATAAACTGGGTGGTAAGACATGATAAACAGAAATTTATTTCTCACAGTTCTAAAGGTCAAGAAGTCCATAAAGGAGACAGTAGATTCAGTATTTGGCGAGGACCTGCTCTCTGGTTCATAAATAGTTCCTTCTTACTATTTTCACATGGTACAAGGGGTGAATGAACTGTCCTAGGCCTATTTTATATGGATAATAATTCCATTTAAGAGAACAGAGCTCCTTTCCAAATATTTTCCAAAAGGCCTCACCTTTGAAAAGGGCTCATCCTCCTAATACCATAGCCCTGGAGGTTAGAATTTAAACATGAATTTGGGGGAAAAACAAGCATTCAGACCATAGTGCTGGCCTGTTGGAATATCTCATTTAAAAAAAATTAAGTAATTTATACGTAGTATTTAAATCTTCAGTTTCCAGGGACCAACTCTTAGGATAAGTTAAAATACATTATGTGCTTTTTATCCTATAGATTCTGCATTTCACTTGGTGAAATTTTTGTAAACAGCATTTAATACTTGATACTGGCTCTTGAAACTTTTATAACAACTTGTACAGTCTGAAATTTAATGTACAGGTTATGTATTGGCTTTTTAAATTTTTTAAAGAAAGTTATGATTTATTTCTATAACTGTGTAATGGAATTGCCATTGGATTTAAGATGCAATGTATGTATGGATAGAAACTGTCCAATGAATTATGCTACAGGGAGTTAATGGTTATGCATGCTAATATGTAATTTCAGGAGAATGCAAAATAGACTGGACACAAATACCTCATGAAAGTGAGCTGAAAACACTGATTTAATAAGCTAACTAAATTGGCCTTTTACAAAATTATACAGCAACCAACATCAGCCATTTTTAGAAGCTATAAAAATATAATTGAAAAGAACAAATACATTCACAATAACATAAAAATTTAGGCATAAATAAGAACTATGTAGATATCTATGTAATGAAAACCTTAAGCTTTACTGAGATGTGAAAGATATAAATAAATAACATATGCCAGATCTCAAACTAGAAACTAGAAAGACTAATTTACTGACATCCATTCACATCTGCTGAATGCCTACTTCTATGATTCTGGGCGTGTGAAGTAGACTAGCAAGCCAGTGAAGGTCAAAGTTGGCGATCTCATTTTTCCTTCCAATGAGAATATCACTTATGTTTAGCCATTAGGCAAAGGTTGGGTGTTGACTAAAACATAAGACTCTCTCAGTGAAGTATACTATTAATACTTTTCTATTTTTCTTTCCTGTTCAAACCAAGATTAAGAATAAAGCATTAGTTTACTATATGTGAAATGGACTGCTCATATTTTGAAGGGGTCTAAGTAAGGCTCTGAAACTTTGTACCAATGATAACAAAAATAAAAACCAAAACAGCAAAGATAAGTATGATACATAGATTCTCAAATATTTAAAATATTGCCATATTACTTTTAAAATCACACTCAAATAGGGATTCTCAAGGTATTAAAGAAAACCAAATTAATATTTCAGTAAGTAGGATGTAAACAAAATTACTTTAAATCAACTGTATTCAAAATTAAAATCTTTCAGTAATGAATTTGAATAGAATGAGAGATCTAATCACAAGTTAACATAAGAAACACATGTCTCAAAAATTAATACATTTAACATATGACAGTTATAAGTGGCACACTTAAAATCCTTTTGTTGTTCCTTTGATGAAATTTAAATACTTTGAAAGTCCTAAATGAAATATTTCTCCTACTTTTCCAACAAGTGTGATTTTTCTTCTTTTGGTTTATTCAGTAGAAAGTGAACTATCTGAAGTAAGACATCATCATTAAAACCTTTCACCTCATTATCCTCGACTGTCTCATAAAGAGGCTTACTTTGTGTCCCCCAACAAATATTTTTACGAGGGTTATTCTGATCAGCTTGTACAGTCAATGCCAAAGTATTTAACTGGTAGCAGAAAAATGAAAAATATTTTCCATCTGTGATTACGCCCTGGGAGACAAATGGTCGAGTAACATCTGCTTCACTCCAGAATCCTGTAGAAGAAAGTAATGCTGAAATTTACACACATAATACATTTCACCAAAATAAAACACACATTAAAGAGTAGCAAACACCTACATCCTAAATATTTTACCTGAAGATCCAAAGTTTCCCTGTCTTCTTCATCTCAATCCTATAGTCAATTTCTGCATCAACGTTTATTTCCTCCCTTCTAGCTAGTATTCCCAAACTCATGATGCATTTTTTTTCATTATCAGTCTTTAGATTCCAACTTTATTTCATCTAATTAAAGTTCACTAAGCTCTGTGTATGCATATCCATCCTACATCTAGAAGTACTTTTATTCCTCACTGATTTCAGCAAATACATTCAAACTTCCCAAAACCAGGAACATCTACCACCCAATAGCCATACTGGCCATTTATTTTGACAAATCCATGTGTGCACATGCGCGTGCGCCACACACACACCCCTTCAGATAAAATTGTCTTTCTGCAGTTCAACATATCCTTAGCTAAATTCATTGTATTCCTTTATATATTTCCAAACTAGTTTTATGAGTTGCTATCATTTAGCCTAGCGTCTTATGTCATAAGGCTCCAGGATGCCTTAATACCTTTACCACTCAAATTTTCTGGCTTTTTAAAAAATTCATCTGCCAAGGCCAAGCAACAACTTTACTTCACACATATTTTATAGCATCTTTAATGGAGACAGCCAATAAATATTGTTAAAGTATGAAATTAAATCTAACGTAAAACAAACTTTTTTTCATGAATAAAGAGGGCCATTCTAACACCTCCAACAAAGTTCCTCTCACATTTTTCTGATTCTGTCTACCCCCTCACCTTCTCCATTTAGTGCATATATGTGCGCGAGCGCACACACACATACACACACACAGTAAAAGGTAAGCCTAGTCTTTAGCAGGTCTATATCAAAATTCCTCCCAGAAGCTAGGCGTGGTGGTACATGTGTATAATCCCAGTGACTCAGAAGGCTGATGGAGGAGGATTCCAAGTTGGAGACCAGAATCAGCAACTGAGCAAGATGCTGTCTCAAAATAAAAAAAGGGCTGAGGATGTAGCTCAGTGGTAAAGCACCCCTGAATTCAATCTCTAATACCATAAGGCAAAACAAAACAAAACAAAAATCAAAGATACGAAAATTCCTCCTGGATAATTATATTACTTCAGGTTTTACAATAAAAGTGTTATGAGGGTGAGGTTTGTAGCTCAATGGTGGAGCTTTTGCTTAGAAGGCAAGAGGCCCTGGGTTCAATCTCAGAACTGATGAATAAATAAACAGTCTACATGATATAGCCTCCAGATTCCTCTCATTCCTCATCACTCTCCCCAGCTCTTCTTTCATCAACCTTCATATTGTTCCTTAAATACCTCAAGCTTGTTCCTACCTCAGACTTTTTACCTGCCATTCCTTTTATCAGGAAGTCTTTCCCCATTATGCATAGATAGCTCCTCACCATGCATGTCTCTGTTCAAACCATTTTTTAGAGATCACCCCTTAATGATTCCAGCAATATGGATTTTGCCTCATACTTCATTTACATCCACCCCCATAAATTATTCTACCCTTTATAATAGTATATTTGTTCCATTCTCTGAAAATAGTACATGCTTATTATCTTTTCCCCTCCCACTATACTCCAGGAGAGCAAGATCTGTCTTTTATTCAACACAGTATCCCCAAAGCCAACAGTGTCTGGCAAATGAAACCACTGATCATTTACTGAATGAGTGAACAATCTCCTGATCCAAATTCTGGACATAGCCTTTAAAGAAATGAAATAGGATAGCCATAATTTAATCTAAACATTTAATCCTTCAAATCATTTCCTCTTCTACCTTCAGAAAACTGTTAGGAACTACAAAAAGTTGACTTATAAGAGTTAACAATAAGCCAGGCATGGTGGTCCATGTGTATAATCCAGGGGATCCAGGAGGTTTAGACAGGAGGATCATAAGCTGGAGGCCAGCCTCAGCAATTTAGCAAGACCTTGTCTCAAAATAAAAATAAAAAAGGACTGGGGAAGTAGTTCAGTGGTAATAGCAAGTCTTACTTAAAATGGTTATGAAAACCATTGGGAAAAAATATATTCACACAGGAGGCAGTCAAAGTAAAAACAAAAAAAATCAAAATAACTATTCAAATGTCTCTTCCAATTAGAAATGTAAAATATTTAATTATGGGTTTTAAACCAATTCTATTTGTGTCAACATAATAATTTTCAAACTGTTAAGATATCTTCATTTTAACCAAAGAAAGCAACCTAAATAATTACATTCTTACAATGTCATAGATAACCTTCAAAGAACAATAATGTCATCTATTTAGTTTTACCTTGATACACTGCTTGTGCTCCAGTCCAAGCAAAAAGGCTTGCAATAGCATTAGCTCTAAAAATAACTTCTATCTGGTCAGCACGGTTTCGTTTCAAAAGCCATTCTCTATTTAATCTGTCAGGTAACAGATGAAACTGGGTGTGGCCATAACAGCATGGATCTGCTGTTTTTGAGCCTGAAGAACAAAACAAAAACATTCACATGAACTGATCCTGTGGAATATCTGAAGCACACATTTTAGTATTCAGTTCAAGCATGTCTTCAGTAATCTGTTCTCAAAATTACATAAATGAGAATATTAATTCATTTATTTTATTGACTATAATAAAATTAAATCTCACTTAAAAGTATGATTTTTCTCATAAAGTCCACTATGATCAGAGTAAGCTACAACAATATATGTAAAAGTTATTGAAAATTCTCTATTATTTCAATTTTTCAAATGTCTTGGTTGTCATTAGGAGCTCTGTTACACTTTACTTGTCATATTTACCACAGGATACATTTTATGAATTTAAAACTTCCTTGATTATTTAATGTAATAATTAAAGAATGTGTATTTTACTAATAAAACCACTTTTATACTACAATTATAAGTAAAAAAAAATGAGTAATATTTCATGAACTAACATTCTTGATTTCATTGGTAATGTCTTTTTAAAAATGTCCCCCTTGGGTCATTCCCTAAGACTACAATGACTGAAAAGGGATTGATAAAATAGGTCTGGAGGACAAGTACAAAGCTTGCTTAAAATCTTCCTCAAGTCAAATAGGAATTAATGAAGGAATAAAAAATATGAAAATAAGTTGCATGTGGGCAGACAAGAGGCCTTGTTAATTTCTGAATCCCTTGTTAATTTCTGATTAGGTTAAAGTGCAATTACTGTCCCAAGTCCAGTTCTAAACATTTTTGCTTTTGAAAAAGCAAATTACTTTTCCCATACAATAAATCAACAAAACCTAGTAAGTATAACTTTAAAGTTAAATACTGTAAGTGAAATTTCAAATAATGTGCTGAAAGAATTTCTTTCTAATTTTCTTGCATGTTGCAATAACTTGAGATTATAAATTATACTGCTTATGCACAAACAGAAGCTCTCAGTCACCAAGAATTATTTTTATAGCTAGTGCTCCAAAGTTATACAGCACACTTTGAACATATTTATGGTACAATATATAAAAAAGAAACTTACCAATAAATATGTTGTTTTCATATTGCCGTTTGAATAATGGAAGCTTGTCTGGTTTACATTTCATAACAGGGATTTCTACAGGAACAGAATAATCCAATGGCACAAACTTAAAGAAAAAAATAAAAGAATGAATTCACAACAACAACAGTATCTATTTTATATACATTCTTATTAGAGCCAAAATTTTTAAATGAGATGTTCTTTGCAAAATGATCTAATCATATGTATCATCAAAGTATCTTAAAGTGCTAGAGACCAGAAGCATTTCAGATATCAGAGTTCTTTGGAAGACTTTATAGGTTGAGCACCCCTACTCCAAAAAATATGACATGCTCTGAATTTCAGATTTTTAAGCATTTCAGATTTTCATATTAGAAATATTCAATGTGTACCACCATCTAGGGATGGGCTAAATCTACCCAGCCCCCTGATTTTACAAATAAAGTTTTACTGGAACACAGCCGTACACATTCACTGATACATCGTATATGGCTGCTTTTACACCATAAGATGAGAGCCAAATAGTTCCAACAGAGACTTAAGGCCTGAACAGCCTAAAATATTTACAATTTGGACCTTTACAGAAAAAGTATGCCAACCTGACATGGCAGCACAAAAAGCACTCAAAATGCAGTGACTTTCTTTTAAAAGAACTGCAAATACGGAAAATGACCCAGTTCACAACTAAAAATCAGACTAATATGTGTAAATTACAATCATAAACTATTATAGCATATTGATATAAAGAAAAGGAAAAGGTCTGAACAATCATGAAAACTTAACCTCACTTGAAATGATTATTTGGCCTCTGAAGAATATATCATACCAGAGGGAAAAACTAAAAATGATTTTCAGATGAGTGGTTTACAAAGGAAACATGAATGGCAAGAGATCAAACCAAAATATTTCATTTTAGTAAGCCCATCACTTGATCTGCCTACATTTCCTACATCAGATGTTAATAAATACATATGCCATAAACCCTTACCTCTGGGAGTTGCTTGGATATTCGAATCTGATTGTGTGGTTTATCATCTATCTGGTATCGCAAAGCATCAACTCGACCTTTTCGATGACCAGAAGAAATAATTTCTTCACCACGCACCCAGTAAAAATGAACGAGCCGCTTATGATCTGTTAAAAGATATCCAAAATTTTCTCATCTGATTAATCAGATAAATCTAATGGAATACTAACTAGCAATTGACAACTTAAGGATGATCATCTAATTAAAAATATATCAAAAGTTAAAGAGTTGGGATTATGTGACAATTTATTGTGGCTTAAATATAGCACTCAAACATCTACTTGTGCCAACATTACACTAAACCCTGTAACCAAAGAAAATAATTAGCTAAGAATACATATAAAATAAGACCAACAGGAATATCAGTCACCAGAAATTAAAATGGTTCAATAATTCAATCTTCACAATTACTGAAAAAGGTACCTACAGTTACAATCATTTCTATTTTGTATAAGAGGTATCTGAGTCTTGACAAAGAAAGTTTAGTAAGCCACCAATCTCAAAGTTCACCAAAGTTCCCCTTAATACCATTTCCTTCCCAACTGAGAAAGGGAAATATTGCACACTACAAAAATCAGTTGAGCACATGCCTATAACAACATTAATGCTACCAACACTAAGACACCCACTAGGTGATATATGTAAAATGAATGTACTGGAACAGTTATTTTTAAGATACGCTAATTATTTTTCATGTCTATATGAACAGTTAGAAAGAAGCTGTTAAATTATTTGCTGGGTCCGAATCTTTACCTCTAAATCTACCAAGTATAGAGTCTTGATTAGCTTCTGCGTGCCATTTTGTTTTTCATTCATAAAATTTATTATAAAATTTATAAAATCAGGCAATCATGCTACCTCCTGTAAATGGTTATTGAGAGGATTAGCTGGCACACATAAAATTTGAAATTAGGCCTGGCACACAATAAATACTGAAGGTTAGGTATTCTACTTAATATATCACTTAATCGCCACAATGCTAATGAAGAAGCACTATTACCATAATTCTCAACTTGAAATAAGAAAAAAATATGGTAAAAGATATTAATGAATTCACATATTATTGTCCCACCGATTTTTTAAGAGCCAAAAGCAACCCAGGTCTGTACTGCTCCCTAGGAGGCTCTTTTCTTAACCACAGCTCTTCATTTAGCTGGACAAAGCAGAGTCAAGAATTTGACTCCCGAAGAGCTTAAGCTATTAGGGCTAGAGGAAAAGGATCACACAGAGAGGGAAGCCGCATACGCGGTGAGGGTCCCGAAGCTCACCAAGAGCGGCTGTAGCCAGGACGGGATTGAGCGGGGTGAGCAATCCCGTGAGGGTCGCCACCAGCTGATCCAAGAAGGGCGAAGCGATAGCCTCCTGCTCCTGGAAGAGGGGCGCCCGCCGCCTGCGCCGCAAGTAGAAATGTTCCTGCAGGAGGCAGTCGCACGCGGCAGAGCGCAGGGCAGCCAGGTCCAGCGCGGGCGCCGGCTCGGCCTCCGGGGACGCAGGCGGCAGACCCGACAGGAACACAGTCTTGGTGAAGCCTTGGTACCAGCGATCGGCGTTCAAGGCGAAGGTCTGCGGGTAAACCACGTATTTTTTGAATTGCATCTTCGTAAGGATTCGCAGCTTCTCGTCCACCGACTTGGCCGCGTGCACCGCTGCCTGCCAGCGTTCCACCCGCCGCTGCCGTGCCGCCTTGCTCTTGGCGGTCAAGGAGGCCACAATCGGCGGGTACCGCGCAACGGAGGTCGCCAACACATCTGGGCTGATCGTTCCCGTGGCCGTGGAGTTAGTCTCGGCAGCGGTGTGCAATGACGGCCCCCGACCGCGAGGCACAAACCTCCAGCACCGGGACGCCGCCATCTTCGCCCTCGGTTCCGGAACCAGAGGTCAACTTCAGCAATTGTCCCTGCACTCTTGCCATAGGGACCAATCAGAAAACGCAATCTGAACTAGGCTTACTCTGATTCTGAGTGGTGTTGGGATACGTTGCGTCATTTGTTCTGTAGCCAATCAGCTGCTCCTACCAAGTTTATCGCGGTTTTGAGTGCTTGGAGTGAAAGAACCTGCCTATGCCTGGGTTTCTGCAATTCTGACTGGAAGGAATGAAAGAAACCTTAAAAAAGGGGGTGCTGCCCGCTAGGTTGCTTTTAGGGCCTGGACAACGTTCTTGCCATAACCGTTTATGAACATTATGCACGGAAACTCCAAACTCTTAGCTAAATTTCCTAGTTTCATTAATGTATCCCACACCACTTCTTTTGTTTTGCTTTAGGAATAGTAACTTAATTTTTGAAAGGACGTTCGCCTTTGGATATACATGCTGAATTTTTAAAAATTAGGCAAACATCACTCATGTGTAACCATTACTAAACTTCGGTAAAGTAACTCCATATATTTCTCTGTGCTAATATAATTTAATTATATGCTTTTTTTAAAGGGGGAGATGTATTTTACTTGGATTTATCTGGGGGAAATAATGGAAATAAACTACTAAAGAACTGCGTTTAAATTTTGCTTTGTATTAAAATGCATTACTTCAGCAAAAGTCCATTCCCACTAATCTGTAACCTCCTTAAAGAAGGGACTGCTATATTTTTATTGTTTGGCAACCAATCATTATCTGTGCCAAATGGATGCCCAGTATATGAAGAAAAATAATCCCAATCTAAGTTTATTTCAGATAATCTATTTTATTTATTGGCTCATTCTTCTATAATTAAGAGTTAGCATGTTGATTCTTTTTATTTTTAATTTTTTTTGTAGTTGTAGAGGGACAGTATGGTTTTTTTTGTTGTTGTTGTTGTTTTAATTAGGTGGTATTTGGGGTCTTTTTTTATTAGTTGCTCATGATAATACAATGATCTTGACATATCATACATTTGAATCAAATGGGGTATAATTTCTCAGTTTTTCACGTGTACAGGTTGCAGAATCACATTGGTTATACAGCAATATTAGTGTCTATTTTATTCTTCTGCCCTTCCTATGCCCCCTTCCCCCACCCTCCCCTCTCATCACCTCTCTCTACTAATCTAATGTGACACATTTCTTTTTTTTTTTCCCTCACATCATCATACATGTATTTTGTATAACCATTAGGGTCTCCTTATTTTTATGTGGTGCTTAGGATGGAACCCAGTGCCTCACACGTGCAAGGCAAGCCCTAGCATGTTGATTCTTATTGCAGTAATTCTTGAATATATTGAAAATCAAACATTTTGTTGTTAAAAGAAACAAAGATAGAGGGATACAGATTTGTCTGTGTGTGCGATGGAGAGTGTGTGTGTTTGTGCGCAGTGTATTGTTTTTTATATATATATATATATATATATATATATATATATATATAATAACTGTAGATGGACCTTTACTTATTTACATGTAGTGCTGAAAATCGAACCCAGTGCCTCATACATGTTAGGCAAGCGCTCTGCCACTGAGCCACAGCCCAAGCCCCAGAGTATGTTTTTTTTTTTTTTTTTTACCTCACTTTAGGTATATCACCAAGAAATCAAATATCGTTTTTGAGTAAAGTTTTGTTATTTCTAGTAAGTATATTGGTCACTTACAATAATGTTATTTAAGTTTATGTTATATCTTGGATCTGAAATGTTCCCTAAAAAAGTCTTGGTCCTTGGAGAGATCCTTTTTGGAGGTGGTGGGACCTAGTAGAAGGAAGTTATGTCATTGGGAGTGTCCCCTTGAAGGGGCTATTGGATATTGGCCCCTGGCCCCATTCCCCACCCCACCCTTTGTTTCTGCTTTCTGACTGCCATGAGTTGAGCTAATTTCCTCTGCTAAGTACATCTGCTATGATCTACCACCTTGCTACAGGCCTAAAAGCAACAGAGCCAACCAACCAGAGACTGAAACTGAGCCAAAATTAAAATTGCCTCTTTTTTAAGTTGATTATCTCAGGTATTTTGTCAGTGATGGGAAGCTAACATAGTTTATGAGAATATTGATTAATCAAATCACTCAGCCCCTGCCCCTCTTGCCTTACTTAGAAATCTCTGGAGACTGAGTTTAAGTGGCCAAGGTCACACAACTGATGACCATCAGAGCCAGATTCCAATGCAGCATTTAAATAATAGGACCCTGACAGATAATAGGCTGGACAAATTTACCAGCATAAGAATTCCAGGGAGCAAGAATGATAGACTCCCTCTTCCCCACCTGAAGACTGCATTTTCAAGCAGTGATGGCTTATAGCATCTTCAGAGATTATGGAAAACTTTCCAAAGCCACAGTCAGAGGATGAAGTCTTAATAAGTATTTTAAAAGATGATGGAAGATATGAATTTAAATGAAGTTAAAGAAGGATTGTTGTAGGAAAAAGGCTTCAGTTGCAAAATAAAAATGGTGATGCAGTACATTAACACTGCTTCTAAGACAGTTTTAGTGTGATAGAAAGGCTGAAGCATTAATAACTGCAGTGGAGGTTGCCTGGTGAATTTTGGCATAGTTTACCTTCTGGGAGAAATAAGAGAAGTCTTAAAAGTAGCTGACAGATTTCACCTCAGGAATTCATCTATGAACCGAAAATGTGGTCTGCAGATGAGAAACTTGTGACATACATGTGAGTCCCTCCCAGTGTCTTTGACCAGCAATTCTGTGAGGGTTGCTAAGCAGAAATCTGAAGAGGGCCTTATGGGGAAATTATGATGAATCTTTCCTCCCAGTCAACTCCCTAGGTGTTAATACCATGTTTTATAGTGTCTTAGGGAACAGAGCATTTTGTTATAGCATCATTATGTCTGCAAAGTGCTACAATCCCTTTGACACCAATCATTCTGAGTTGAAAGAAAAGGAATTGAATTCCTTGAGTGTAGTTATGATGAGTCTTTAAAAACCAAAAAGTTATTACAGATATTCAGATGTTAAAAGACCATTGAACTATCCTATAAATTTTATTTTCTAAACAAGTAAATGTCAGTCTCCATAACCCACTGAAGCAATGAGCTTCTGAGTCCTTTCTCATTATTAAGGTGGAAAAGGTCCTGAGACCAAAAAGTGAGATGGCCACCATGGGTAAATCCCAGATGTGACTGGGCCAGTTCTTGCTCTGAACTCACAAGGAGTCACTGTGAGGGGATTTCAAACACCTGCTATATATAAGGCCTTGGCTGCATCTGGGTTTTCATCCGTACATATAGGAATGTGACTGGTCAGATTCACGGAAGATTAGCTCATTTGGTGGTTTGTTTCTTCTGGTTTTTATCTTTTGATATTGTTTTTTTTTTGTTGTTGTTGTTGTTGATATTATTTGTTTTCTGTCTTTTGTTCTTTCTTTTGTTTTCATAACAGGCATTGAACTCAAGAGTGCTTAATCATGGAGCCACATCTCCAGCCCCCTTTTTTATCTTTTATTTTGAGACAGGGGTTCACTAAATTGCATAGGGCATCACTAAGTTGCTGAGGCTGGCTTTGAACTCACTATTCTCCTGCCTCAGCCTCCCAAGCAGCTGTTATTATAGGTATGGAGCACTGTCCCTGGATTCTGGGATTGCAGAGATGGTTCTTAATAAATTTATGTTTCTCCCAAAAAATGTTCCTGGAAAAAGTAATCTGTACTCACAAGAAAATGTTCTTTGCTCTTTCTTGTTAGGTATTCTTTGCCCTCCATGTTTTTCCTTTCTAAAACACAAATGTACAATGCCACCAACCACCAGAACAAAAGCCCAATTTACTGAAAAATGGTGAAGCAGAAATATAGATCTGACTTGTGTCTTCTTTGAGTCATGTACTAGCCTGGATGCTTATCTCCAGACACTTTGTGATGTGAGAAAAAATCAGATTCATTACTTATCTGCAGTCTGTTTCTCTTATTCTTGGATTCAGAAGAGCAGAACTAATCATTGCTTTCCAAAAAAATCACAAAACTATAGGTATTTTAAATAGATGCCTATATGTATAAAGACATATATGCTCATATAGAGAGATAAACACTTATACTTATTTTTTTTTCTATTTGGGGACTATGTTAGCTTTTTGTTGTTGTGACCAAAATGAGAACAACTCACAGTATCAAGGATTTATTTTGGTTCAGAGTTTCAGAGTATTCAGTTCATGGTGGGCCAGCTCTGTGGCTCTCGGCCTGAGGAAAGGCAGAACATCATGGTGAAAGAGAAAAGCAGAAAAAAGCTGCTCCACTCATGGAAGCTGGGAATAAAAGAGAGAAGAGAGTGTTAAGAAGAGGCTATAGAGAAGATAAGACCATCCAGGGCCTGCCCCCAGTGACTGGCTTCCCCCAACTAGGTCCCACCTCCCAGTAATCCATTTAGTCATCAATGGGTTAATGCACTGATAAGTTCAGAACTCTCATGACCCAATCACTACCCAAAAGCCCTACACAGGAGACTTAGGAGGATGTTCTAGGTCCAAACTATAACAGGAAGGATTTTTGTTAAAAAAAAAAAAAAAGAAAGAAAAAAAAAAACAGGATCATATTATTGAACAGTTCTTTAATAGACAAAAATATAACTTTTTTTGTTTTATTTTTGCTTCTCTGCCTTTCTTTATATATAATTTATAATATATGATATATATAAATTTTGTATATATAAAAAGAGATGTGTTATTTTTGTTTTATATGTTTTATGTTTATTTTATGTTTTTTAATGTTTTATTTTTATTTCCCCTGTCTGCTGCCTCTCTCCCCTTCTCTCTCTCTCTCTCTCTCTCTCTCTCTCTCTCTCCATATATATATGTGTGTGTATTCTTTTTAGTTATATACAAATTAGGATACATTTTGATATAATCAAAATATGAAATATAATTTGCTCTAATTAGTTCCCAGCACTCCCTCCTCCCTTGCATCTACTCTATTGATCTTTCTGCAATTAATTTATACTTTTTTTTTAATTAGTGCCTTGTGGATGTACATGATGTTATGATTCACTGAGGTATATTAATGTATGTACAGATGAAAGTTTGGTCAG